CTGGAGAGGAGGGCAAGTCAGCGGACAGCCGCTCGCAAGCTGGCGATTTCTCAAGCAGTGCCTTGGTGCTTGCCCTAAGACTTCCCAGGTGCCTCCTGAGCACTTGACCTGCGGCTCCTGGCTTTCGTCCAGTGGGCGCCTGGGCGCCCGTGCCTTCCACGTCTGAAGTGGCTGGCGGATCTGGGCTGTTTGGCCAGCGGCCAAGGAGCGCCCGTGCCCGCATCGCGCCCGCCCCGGTGTGCGGGCTGGCGGTGCCGGGACCTTCGCCTGGTGGGCTCCCGTGCCCGCCGCGCGCTCACCCCCTGGCGCCGGCTGGCCTTTCAGCACGCGCGCACCGCCTCTTGCACCACATGGGCACCCCACCATCCACCACACCACAGGACTTGCAGCCCGTGGTGCACCGACGTGGAAGGTAGGGGACCGAACTCTCTATACACCGACGCCTGTGTCTGGCCTCACACTGAGTCTCGCACAGGAAGGCGGATTTGGCGTATACGGGATCCTGGTGTATACATTCTTCGTTGTTTCCCTGGGAAAACGGGGAAAAATACACACCATACCACCTGGACGTCGCCCCCGACCCTCAAAAAAGACTTGGGATTGAAAAACTAAACCGCCCGCCACTGTAATGTATATGCTCCAGTTTCCGAGAATGCACCACAAAAGCATGAGATGGTCTCTCTGCTGTCATCTCTGCGTCACTGTCCCTCCCGGGGGGGGGGGGGAAGGGGGGGTGCTGGGGCCCCGGCAGCAGGTGCCGCTGGGGCAGGGGTGGGGCTTACGAGCACCAGCAGGGCGCCCGCGAGCACCGGACACGTGCGCCTGCGGGCACAAGCGAGCCCCCCCCCCCGCAAGTGCACAATCGTTGCAACTATACTGGGGGGGAGGTTGGCCTGGGTAGCGACCACTCCGGGCCAAACGATAGAACACAGCCTCTGTTTTTTTGTGTTGTGTGTGTGTGTGTGTTTTATTCTCCTTTCTAGAAAGGGCATAGACTCTACCCCCCCCACCCCCGGACTTAACGCTTCCCCCTGGGATAATATAATTTCATATATATATATATATGTTCTGCACACTCGTCCATCCTAAATATGAAATCATATCATCCCAGCTAGGCCGCTTCCCCCCCCCCCCTGAGGTTCCCATGTGAAAAACACTATGCGGTGACATGTTCTGCTCTAACATCAGACTTTTTCGCGAATCCCTTGCGAAAAACGAGACGAAGTGCACACGCGCGCGTCGTCGCGCGCGCATGCCGAAATCCTTCAAAAACCTTCGGTGCCGGAAGGATTTCGCAATCGAGTTTCCAAAACACATACAAAAACACAGGGTTTCGCAACACTGATTTGCTAAACAAGCTTCCGCGCGAGCTCTTGCGAAATCTTAAGAAAACCATAGGTTTCTCAAGATTTTCACAACATGCTACTAAACGGGCGTCGCGCGCGCATGTCGAAATCTGTCGAACGCCCTTGCGCGTGTGCCGTCGCGAGAATCCTCTGCAAAAAATGGGACGAAGTGCAGACGCGCGCGTCGTCGCGCGCGTACGCCGAAATCCTTCCAAACCCATCGGTTTCGGAAGGATTTCGAAATCGCGCGTCCAAAAAACCTACAAAAACCCAAGGTTTCGCAACACGGATTTTCAACAAAAGCGTGCGCGCGCGCTCTTGCGTCGTCGTCGTCGTCGTCGTCGCCGTCCTCCCTCCTCCCGCGTCGTCGTCGTCGTCGTCGCCTACGTCGTCCTCTGTCTTTCCTCGTGTTCGTCGTCGTCGTCCTCTTTGGCGTCGTGGTCGTTTCCCTCGTCGTTGTCGCCGTGGTCGTCCTTCATCCTCCTCCCTCGTCGTCGTCGTCGTCCGTCGTCGGCGTTTCGTCGTCGTCCCTCCTATTTCGTCGCCGTCGTCGTCGTCGTCGTTGTCGTCGTCGTCTCGTCGTCGTCTTCACTCCTCACTCGTCGTCGTCGTCGTCGGCGTCGCCGTCCTTCCTCCTTCTTCGTCGTTCGCGTCGTCGCCGTCCTCCCTCCTCCCTCGTTGTCGTCGTTGTCGTCGTTGTCGTCGTTGTCGTCCTCCCACCTCCCTCGTCGTCGTCGTCGTCGTCGTCGTCGGCGTCGTCGTCGTCGTCGGTGTCGTCGTCGTCGTTGTCGTCGTCGGATTTGTTGGCGACGTCGTCGGTGTCGTCGTAGTCGATGTCGGCGGCGCCGTCGTCGTCGTTGTCGCTGTCGTCGTCGGCGTCGGTGTCGTGGCCAAGTGCCATGTGGCACCTACCGTCACGGTCTTGTCTCAAGAGGTCTTGCGACCAAGTTGCGGGTGGGAGGGTGGGATGTTTGCACGAGCAGTGGAGAGGACAGCTTCAAGACGGTCGAAATGGACACAAAATAGACTCCACCACCCTCCCCCCCGGGTTATCGCGCTCCCCTGCTACGCTACAAAGTACACATGATTTCCCATCCCGGAATTAATCCATCGGAACTAGGCCGCCTATGGCCCGTTGCATCTCCGTCAAGTGATATTATGCGCGCGCGTGCGTTTATCGCACAACATGATGCTCCAACGCCCCTGCAACAAACATGCACGAAATCCATACGCGCGCACAGGCCAACATCAGACACAACATGCCATTTCTGCAGTCTCCTCAAGTGAAGCACATTACAATCGCCTTTTCGCTTGTCACACACACACACACACAACTACGGTATTTTTCCCCGCGCGCACGTGCTGAAATCTTGGGGAACCACGTGATTTTAACAATCTCGTCCAAAGGCCGCATAGTCGTGTCACCAAGCGGTGCACCCGCGTTGATCTAGCATGCGCCCAATGCACAAATCCGTATCACATAGAACCATGCGGGGCAAACGCGCGCGCCGCCACGTGCGCGTGTCGAAACCTTTCGTAAGCCGTTCGTTTTCGAAGCCACTCAAGGAAGAGAACTTCAACACACGTATCAGGAGCCGCATGTATGGCTTCTTGAATTCCCGCGCGCGCGCACTTCTTCAATATCGCCCTCATCGGCGCCACCGCATCACCGCCGCTATCCTCGTCGCCAATCGTCGCCATTGCCGCCATCATTCGCCAAGTACCTACATCACCGACGCATCGACATCATCATCGTCATCGTCGTCACCAGCATCGGAGCCGTCATTGGCCCTGCCGTCGCCATCGTCGTCACGGCCCAACACCCGTTGCTATCATCATCATCGTCGCCGCCTGTGTCGGCGCAGCCATGATACAGCGCCCGCCCGAATCACCGACCCGCACTGGAACGCCGGCGCGCGAGCGCGGCTTTTGGAGTGCGCTGGGAATCTCCCATCGGTATACGCCATCGCGGCCGCTCCGAATTGTGCCAAATCAGCTGACCGCTCTGCGCGCGAGCTTGCGCGCGCTGGCGCAGCCGCAGAGATGCAGCAGCCAACGCCAGATGGTGACCGCAATAGCGGCCGCATGATGGTGGTCCACGACACGTTGCGGGTCGGAGGGTGGGATGATTGCGCTAGCAGTGGAGCTGACGACTGGAAGTTTTGCAAGGTGGATTGCGCCTGATACAATACAGCCAGTATGCTGTTTTTTTGCTAAAGCGAGATACTGGTACCCCCCATGCTGGGGCCAGGCGTGGTACACTCGGTCAACAACCATCGAGCACCCGCAGATTGTCTCAAATGCTAGCACGAGGGCCACACGCGCGCGCCCCAGCGCGCGCACGTCAAAGTCATTACAAAACCACTGAATGCCAAAGCAGTATAACATGTTTGTTCCCAGTGCCGACGGACATTTGTTGCTTAGCATTGCCAATGTTTAGTTTCTACGCGCACGCACATCCTCATCATCCTCATCAGCCCCATCTTCACCGTTATCGCGAGGGCCATGCTTTCATTGTCATCCGCAGCACCACCACCAACGCCGTCGTCATCAGCACACTCGCAGCCATCACCATTGCCATCGTCAGAGCAGTTGCCCCAATCATCATAGTCGCCACCACCATCACCGTCACCCCACTCGACATTATCATCGTCGTCGTCGTCGCCACTGGTGTCGTCGCAATCATCGTCATTCATCATCGCTCACCCGCCCGAGTCAGGGATCTGCAGCATGAGGCTCCCCGCGCCGCTGTGCTCAGTTGATCATTATCAAGAAGGAATGTGCGGGTTGGTGGGTACGAGGATGGCTCGAGCGATGCTGGCCACCTCAAGTTCTTCAAACGTCATTGGATCACCTGTTGCCACAAATACAAGGCACCTCATTATCTCTTGAACCCCACATCTTGGCCCCTTTTTTTGCCTCGCATAGCGTGGGCCACCATATCGACTCCTTCCCCCAGATAAGATCGACCTTATCCGCATGCCAGGTCCAAACTTAAATACACCCCTCCGCGTACTTGTTAAATGTCACGTTTCTCCGTGTATATGTCTACGTGTCAGTAAATCTCTATTCAGTGAACACATGATATACATCCCCAGGTCGAACGTTTTGTCCTCTTGAATGGGAACGCATGGATACATTTGGATCCACCTATGCGTGTGCGAGAGTCACGTGGATCCAATTTCCGTGTCTTGTGGATCCAAGCTTTTGGCGTGGACGCTTCGTGGATCCAATTCTTTTGCTCGAATAAACTTATAAAAATAAGTAGTACATGGGACCCAAGGGGAAATTGATCCACGGAGCCAAGGACCTGCAGCCCAAACTATGATTCTACGGGGGAGGGGTTTCCCTACCGAGGAGGGAAGCGGACGAGGATGGAGGACGGAAGAGGCCGATGAGGGAGGAGGGAGGAGGAGGGAAAACGACCGCGGTGCCCAAGCCGGGAGCTCGAGCGCCACAGCGGGCCTAGCCACCTCTCCAAACCCCTCCAATAACATGTCGCTGCTCGAGCGCCACAGCTGCCCCGGCCAACTCCCGCAGCCTCCATAACATGTGGGTGCTCGAGCGCCACAGCGGGCCTGGCCAACTCCCGCAGCCTCCCATAACATATGCCGCACCCCACCTCAACGCGAGCGCGATATGATCGCTGCGCCC